TGAGGTAAACGATGGAGTCAACCGACGGCTGAAAAAAATAACGCAACGTCTAACATTTTCCTGAAGTATTTTGTACCATCATTGTTTTGTACGCTTACATAGAGGTCCGAAGTCTATTTCTATAATATATTTATCTCCATATTTCTCAAGACATATTTTTAAATAATATACTTCTTAATTTTTCAACAAACATCTACACATTGAAAGATCGACGATCGTTATTACTCTCATCGACCCAATAAATATAATAATTACATTTCATTCTGCTTTTATTAACAATGCTATACTTGAAGAAATAGGTTGAGGTTGACTCCTGAGTTAAAATAATATGTGATTTCTTCCTTAAGGCAATAGATGGCATGCTTGTTTAATATAATTGGCCATACTTTATACAAACTAAAAGAAAACACTCATCGTGACAGAAATTCAATATAAAACACCCACATTCTTTACAAAAAAAATCTATGAATAATAAAACTTAAATATTTATTACTGTGGTAATCAGTTTTATTGGTGATCCAATGTGTGGATTCATATTTTTAATACGTTATAGAATATTTAAAATACGATGTGCACACGATGGTAATTTTGGTGAGGTCAAGCCCTACACGTCATTTACTTGGCCTGTACTGTTTTTTATTCTTTAATGTCGCTTACTGCCTGTTGCCTTATGCAAGCTGCGCTAGAAGTTATTCTGGACTTGAAATCAATCGTCTGGTTCGTGAAGGATCTGGCCGCTAAGGGCGTCCGAATATTAAAGGAATCCAATCTGTGGAACCAGACCAACTACGATCACTGGAGGATATTGCGAATGATAGGAAAAAATAATGGCAAACACGAGTCCACATTTGCGAGACGAGAAAACGGACTATATGCTTTTGAAGAACAGATAAGGATTCGCATACCGGCAAGAGAAAAGAGAAGAATGGGAAAGCAACTTAGAAATGAACACTCAAGAGATAACAGTCTACACAGATGCTCCCGTGACTTCAGGAGGCACAGGTACAGGTATCCTCTCAGAGGAACTAGACATCCGACGATCTTTAAGGCTATCGGACGACTGTAATGTTCTACAACCAGAGGTTTACGCTATAAAGGAAGCAGCCAGTTGAACACGAGTGAAAATCGGTTCAAAAAGCATCACAATGCAATCACTGAGATCGAAAACTGTGATGGACTGCCCAGAAGCACTGTCCTGCAGTGTCAAGGCGGGGCCACTCTGTGCTGGGTGGCAGAGCAATGCGGTCGTGTGGTAGGTAACCAAGAAGCCGCCAGCCTCGTCAAAGGAGCTAGGGAGAGGCCGTGGCAAATGACCCGCACTTGTGACGATCAACAATCACTGAAGAAAGCTATCAAGGCTATGGAACTGCCATCAAGGCCAGGTAGCAAGAGACGTGGCAACACGTGATGATCGGCTACAGATCAAAGACTGTGGCCGGTAGCAGATAACAAAAAGACTAAACAACTATTAGAGCATAAATAGAAGCTAATATGCATAATTCTAGGTGTCGTCACTGGAAACTGCCCCACGGGGATAAACCTCGTGAGATGGAACATTTCCAACGACGACTACTGCAGAGCATGCGGAAAGGAAGAAGAAACCATAGAGCACCTGCTGTGACACTGCCCGGCATTGGAAAACCGACGCTTTAAAACTCTAGTGCACGGTTTTTTGGAGTGACTAACATTTGGAACTTTGCAAAAAGCTGGAAGTGCTTTAACGTAAAGAAAGAATTAGAGGAGGGTTTGGTACAATAATCCATGGGTATCGCAATGGGTCCAAAGCATTGCAACAGAAACCCCAGCAACCTAATTTAAACTAACCTAAAAATAATTTTTAAATAGTGTAGTATAAAATTGTACAAAAAAATAATTTTGGACATAGAATTGTGCATCTGGAATCTTACTTTTATTCTTTTTTAATGTTCCTAAAATTAGTGTTAATTTTTGAAAAGTTTTATGTCAACTTTTAGTAAATGACGTCCTGGAGAATGACAGCGCCAAAATTGTCATCAATCCAGCCGTCTTTGACGTCGTTTTTTTCGATCATACGGTATATGCTACAAACAAATTAAAATATAATTTGACTAAGAACGTTAATGCATTTCAAAAAAATCTTTAAATTATTTTACTTTACCTACAACATATTTTTTTTTCTCACTTGAAAATTTAAAAAAATACAAAGCTATATAGCTACATAAATATTTTTATTTTTTTTAAACTTATACTTTAAATTTATAATCTTAAATAAATATATTTATATTTAAAATGCTCTGTATTAAGGCAAATATATATTTTTTGACTCAGATATAGGGTGACTTGCACATATTTTAAAACAAGGTGGTTAATATTATTGATTTCGTAGAATTTATATTAAAATTTTTAAAGGCACATTTAAAATTATAAGATTTTTTGGAAATAGTAACATTATTTCTTATATATTGATGAGTAGAATTTGTTTTGAATGAAGTATGGCCGAAACGTTTGGAACAAAAATACACAATCTGTCTCATTTATGTTTTTTAGTTATGAAAATATGTTTTATGTACATCGATGAAAAATATGTATGTATATATGTACTTAATGTTTGTTTAAACTAGCAGCGAGAAAATACTAATGCGGAAAAAAATTATACAGTATAAAAATGAGTAGACTGACAACTACACATTCAAAGAGATAGAACATTGATAGTTTTTCATATTTTTTATTTTGTTTTGTTTAGAGGCAGGATAGTCTGTTTATGGGTTAAATATTATGTACGCCTGACTATGCCCGGAATCAATGGCACTCGCCTAGAGATAGCACTGTCTAGTTCGAACTGGAATCACTTCACATTCACTGTCTGTACGTGTGTGTATATTTTTAAGCGGTTAGTATATAATCGGACGGCTGCTCTGAACCTCGTTCTGAAGTAATTCTGCCTTATTGTGTACTACTGATTTGTTTTGGTTCCTTTTTCTTCGCGCTCGGTGCATCTACGTAGATAAAAATCTCGAGACAACAAGAAGACTTTTGGGTTTCGTAAAATTAACTAAATTGCACTTTGAAAATTTCTCTTCTTCCGAATTTCTCCGTTCTGCGATATCGTTCCGAATTCCTTTGTTGCACCTGCCCTCAGTCTGAGTGGATCTTTTTTGTTCGTGAAGGCACCTTGTAATTTCAGTCCAGTCCCAGTCTTAGCAATTTCTGAATGTAAGCTTGTATCGCATATAATAGTTTTTTATATTCGTTTTTAAAGTTTCTTATAAAAGTTCCAGAGTTTCAAAAGGCTTATATAAAATCTACATATTAGGTTTTTAAATCTTAGTAAGAAAAATCGAGCTAAAACTTAATCGGTCCTAAATAAAAACTATAGTAAACCTGGGTTGAAGTGGTTGAAAACACTGGCGCGAAAATAAATGCTTCAAACAACTTCGTCAATGTGGCATTTTCGAATTTAGGTGTAAATTGTCAATAATTGAGGTTCACACTGAAAATTTATAAAAAATTGAAAATTAAACATATTCAAGGCGCAGTTCAGATATAAACCAAGTTTATAATTTTAATAGGTTGCTGAATGACTTCCTATCGTTGAACTTAGTTCAAAAAATTGGCGCCGGGAGGCACGTATAGCCGCCCATACTAAAATATGTTAATGAATAGTTGGTAGGCAGTTCTTTTAGTTTCAAAGCAAAAGAATTTTTTCAATTTTTTTATCTCAAAACCTGCGACTTTGACTGATTTTGATGTTATTACAAATTTTGTTGCAAATATTATTCCTAATCTTAAATTGAAAACCGTGTTTCGCTAGCTACTGTAATTTTAGAGTAACGATTTTTTGAAAATTTTAACCCCCTCCCATACCCCCTTACCAACCCCCCACCACCACCAAAAAATAATGGCCCAATTCTCGGGTGCCACAGTATTTTTATGCCAAATTTGGTTAAAATCGGTTTAGCGGTTTTTGAGTTATCGTGTTATAGACGGACAGACATGAAAATATTTTGTATTTAGGTCATTTATGCGGTTTTCACACCAATAAGCCACGTTTTGTGAAACATGAAACTTAAGATGCTACACACATATTTGCCCTAGCCCCCTTGGTTTGGTTTGGGTGAATACAGGGTGAATTTGAAAATGTTGCATTTTTGAAGTAAAATTTTCTCGCCAGAGGAACAAAAAGTACTACTTGGAATAAAAAGGTACCATTTTAGTCTAACGATCAGATCAAACGCTATAAATGCCATCTTACCAAAGAAGTATGAAGCGTTGATTTCGCTCCTGCGTTTTTTTAAACCACTTAAAGCCCATGTTTATCTAAACTATACAGAGTGGTCCGAAGTGTATTCGGAAACTTCGACAGCATATTTTGCAGATAAAAATAAGTGAAAAGTACGTATAAATATATGTCCTTAGTTTTGGAGATACGGGGTGTAAAGGTTCATTTTTATTTCGATTTATTCCAAATAATTTCTTATATCTATTTCCAAACCAAACATCGATATTTGGATAAAAAATGGTGTTTGGGAGTTTTTTGACACGAGAAATTTGATTTTGACAATTTTAGAAGACAAAATTATGATTAATTAAAAAAAATAAAAAATTCCAAAATTTATAATTTCAGTCAAATAACTATCTACTCATATGTTTATTTTATTGTAATATCTAATAATGACATGGATTGACTATTTCCATTTTAAATATCTCGAGAACCATTAGTCGTAGCGATTTTTACCAGGAGACATTTTTTATATAAAAAATTACGGAAATGTATATTTTTCACTCAGTAGTTTTATACAGGTACGTACGAAAAGTTATTACTCTTCAAACCAGTTAAAACACATGTACGTGGCGCCCCCTACAAATACGAACCATATTGACGTCAAAATCAAATTTCTCGTATAAAAAACTTGTAGATACCAATTTTCATACAAATATTGACGTTACTTCAGAAATTATCTAGAAAAAAAATAAAATAAAAATAAAATTTCTATACCCTGTATCTCTGAAACTAAGCGTTTTAGGACATACATTTGTACGAAGATTTTTACTTATTTTTATAAAGTTTCCGGAATACAGTTCGGACCACTCTGTATATACGCTCAATGCAACAACGTTTCGTCTAGATGCCGTCCAACTTTAGTTAGTCAATATAGTATTATTATTATTATTAAAAAAAAACGTATAATTTTACAATATTTCACAGCCAACTGGTGGTGGTGCCCGCCGTACTTTCTCGCGCAGAACGCCACGCAGCAGCGAACAGACGGAACACCACCCGCGCCGGTACTTCGCCCGGTCCGGTGCCTCCTTTCCCTCCACTATGTCTTCACGTCCACGTCCCATATCTCGGCGAGGAAGGGCGGCAACTTTTTGTTTTTCAGCTTCAACGAGAAACACATTTCGGAGTTCTGGTTGCCGAGCGTCCGCAGCTCGGTCAGGACCGAGACGAGTTTCGCGAAGATGACGTGCGCGCGCGGCTTTCGCCGGTTGTCCACGTACGCCCTCAAGGCCTCCAGGTAGATCTCCTGGATCTTCTCCACCTTCCAGCCCTCCATTAACGATGGTCGTTCTAGAAATGAAGAAAAAAGAATCATTAGTCGAGTATCAAATATCGTAAAGATTTAATATCATAGTACAGGGTGGCGCCTCTCATACGTCGCCGAGGCTCCAAGGAGAACGACAGTTTGTATTGCAATTAAATTTTGTTTATATATTATGTAAGTTAATTCAGAGCACTTGTTTTAAAATTTAGAGAGTTTTACAGGGTGTCCCCAAAAAAAGTTACATATCAAAGTTGTGTTTTTTGTAATGGAACACCCTATATATTAATTGATTTTTGGATTCTGGGAGAAAAATCAAGGTGAGTTTTATAAGAGAAGTATGTGACTAAAATGTGAGGTTTTTGACATATTTAACATTTTCTAGAAATAAAGAACAATTTTTAAATTACAATAAAAGCTACCTAAATTGGAATTTACCCGGTATAGCCTAATATGTAGTTAAATTAACTATTGTACTTTAGATCAAATTAAAACTTGATCCAAAAAGTTATACAGGGTGAGACAAAGTTAATATTGAACATTGGTCACCTTTAAAAGCATGTTACTCTTTTATTTTAAATGGAACACCTAGTATATTATTGCGATATTCAATGGAGAATTCATGTCTCTTCAAAATACTGTTAAGGTTGCCTACCCCTCAAACAAAGATTTCCCTAGTTATTTTCATATACATGATTTGATCTGAGTTGATCTTTATTATTTGATAAAATCTAGGTGGCTGTGATATGGTCTGACGTTACTTCAACATAGCTGTCTAATTAGTCCATCTTTAACAACTAGTTATCATTTTGTATCAGTTTAAATACAAAAATTTCTCAGAAATTTGCCGAAAATGCAAACTTATCCTACATCAGAGAGAACTGATCTGATTCTATTAGTTGGTTAATGCAGTGTGCATTCACCAATTAATAGAATACTTAAATGCTCCTGATTTTATCTAATCTGGTTTTTTTTTTATGGGGATATGTTAAAGACAGTGTTTACAAAACTCGACCAACTATTGTCGACAACATGAGAGAAATTATTGTAGCTGCTTTTCGAGGTAGAACTCCACATATGTCTTAAAATAAAAAGATCCTTTTGAAAAAACAATCATTTCATGCAGTTAACAGGAAAGGAAGCATTTTGAGTATTTAATTTCATCTAGCTAATTTTTGTCACATAATTATAGGTTTATCTAGTTTTAATTCTGTAATAATTAAAATATGTTTTAAACGTGTATCTTTTTATTACCGTTGAGTATTTTACTCTATAATCTTTAATTTTTGTTAAACTAACAAAGGTATATCACACAGCCACCTAGATTTTTTCAAATAAATATCTACTGACGCATAATCATAAAAATTAAAATATCTAGGAAAATATTTGTCTGAGGGGTAGGCAACCTTAATAATATTTTGAAGATATATAAATTCCCCATCGAATACCGAAAAAACATACTGGATGATCCATTAAAAATAAAGGAGTAACTTGCTTTTAAAAGTGATTAATGTTCCATATTAATTTTGTCTCACCCTGTATAACTTTCCGGGTCAAATTTCAATTTGGTTTAACATACAATGGTTACTGTATTTAAATATCAGGTTATACAAAGTCAACTAAAATTTAGACAGCTGTTATCGAAATTTAAAATTTACTCTTAATTTTCACAAAATGTGAAATATGTCAAAATCCTTAGATTTTAGGTATATGCTTTCTTAATAAAACTCACCTTTATTTTTTTCCTAGAATCCAAACATCAATTAATATATAGGGTGTTCCATTAGAAAAAACAAAACTTTGATGTGTAACTTTTTTTGAAAACACCCTGTATAATTCTATATATTTTTATAAAATGGTTTGAGTTCACCTACATATGCTGCCAAAATTTCATTTCAATATAAACTACCGTTCTCCTTGGAGCTTCCGCGGCGTATGAGAGACGTCACCCTGTATAAGGAAACTAGTAATTTTACTCCTTGTCAAATCCTTTGTTCTTTTTCTGCCACTTTATAATATGACCTTGTTCTCATATCCCGTGACCACTGACGTAGCTGTATAGTCGTAGTCTATAACTAGGCAAAGTATAGTCGTGGCACTCGCCATAGTTTCCCAGAGTATTTAGGAAAATTAGTTTACAATAAAATAAAATAAATTGATCATCGAGTAAAAATTTGCTTGAAAACAGAATATTTTCACATTTCGTGTAAGTAACAATTCTTCTGTATCTGAAAATCTTCTGATGGGAAGAAATGCGCAAAAAATATATAATGACATATTTTTATATTATTATCTATATCAAAGATTTTCTACAACTTTTTTTTTTAATTTAAAACAAGTTTAATTTTAACATTATTGTGTTTGTTTTCTAGTAATATAGGTTAGGTGATTTTCATTACATACTAGTACATTGAGAGAATTTCACTCGAACTTCCAATATTTGCTTAATTTGTGTCACATAAATGACACTGATTGACAAACAAAACCAGAAAAACCAGCCTTCTCGAGCTGCTTAGTTTGGTGACAGTTACAACCGAATTTTTCAGAAACCGTGTTCCGTAATAAGAAAACTTTCAGGAAACCGATAAAAACGGAACATAAAACCATAACCAAGGTAAGCAACGGAATATACCCTAACTCTCTCATCCCCTTACCTGAAAATATGACAATGGCTGTTAATAAAGCGTATTCGGCATTGTCAATTTTCATCGAGTACATCGTCCTGCAAAAATGCAAGAGATCTTCGATGGTATCTCCCATTCCTGCGAGATTGTAACTGTCCCTGGAGTAGGGCTGGTTATTTGAGAACAGAATGGAATCGGTTCGATAGTCGTATCTCCTGGCCATCCTGAACATCATTACTTCACTGGAACATGCCTAAAAATAATTTCATTTTAGATCTATACAGGGTTGTTCACTAAATACGACACGGAGTATTGTAGCTAAACGATTAGATTTTTACAAATTGTAAGTTTTGGGTTCGTTGAAGAACTATTAGAGCTACAATTTAAAAATGTCCCAAACAAGTAAAAAATATTATAGTTGTATTTTTTTAAATGGAACATCCTGTATATAATTATATTTTTAGATTCTACGATTGAAATAAAGGTAAATTTGACTAAGGTTTACTACACTAAACCTTACAGTATTTGAAATATTTTCAATTTTATGAAACTGCAGTAAAAATTTTAAGGCTTCATTTCTCCAAGTGTATCAAAGTTTATAATATTAAATATTTACTGAAGATTATTTATTGATTATTTATTGAAATGCTACTATCTTGTACAGAGTGTCCAAAAATTTATATTAAATAATTACTAGCTTTAAACGGCAATAACTTGTTTAATTTAAATGGAACACTCTGTATATTTTATGTGAATCATATCATTTGTAGATAAGAAGTAGTTTTCAATAAATGCTAATTGCAAAAAAAGTTGAGAAATCGATTGGAGATTGAAATTTGACACTTACTTTTAGTAAAGCTATCTGGTCTTCTCGCAGAAGCTTATCGAATCCTGGTAACTGTTTAGCGAACTCTACGATTAGCTGGACTGTGAGAATGGTAATTTCTGTGATATGCCTAAATCGGACCTCACGCTGGTCTTCGTCTTCCATCGGTTGGTTCTGAAAGGAATTAAAGTCTTATAATCATATAACACGGTATATACAGGGTGTTTCAAAAAACACGTGCCATCTCTCGTAGGGAGATTGCTCACGTAAAAATAAGACTTATTTTTCATATCAACATAGGTCCGATTCTGCTTTGTTTCGTAGCTACTAGGTGTAAAAGTCTTAATAATTTTTCGATTTATTATAATTTTCTTCCAAGTACTTTTAGCGATTCGAATGAAATTTTAATGGTAAAAGTTACTATAAATGCGACATAATTTAAAGCTAAGAAAGTTAAAATTTTTAATATTATACATTTATAATAAAAATATAGATCGGGGAAGTTAGCAACTCATTGAAAGCAGGAATTATAAAATACGATCCTGCTTGGGCTGCTACAATCCTGCTTTATCCTGCTTCAAATCCCAACCCAGCCACACCTACCAATTTTGAGCTATAGTTACTTTTATTTTGGTTGCTAACTTCCCAGTTGGCAACACATGAGAAGCAGGATCGCCAAAACTGTCAATCTATCCTTAAACTTTTGTTTTTTACGTTTCGTTCCGTACTCTAGCGGACAAGGCAGCAACAAGCTTTTATATCATATAAATTGTGTAATGAGATTATAAGTTGATAGTAAAAGTGTTACAGAAAATTATTTTCTTCTTTTTAGAACATTTAAATAAAAGCTTGTTTTTAAAAATGTTTTTAAAAGCTTTTATTTAATTTGCAATGTATGTATGTATGTATGGATGTATGTATTTCCCGCGGCTTTTGGATTGTTTGTTTTAGTCTCTGTCTAACAAATTTGAATTGGCGGTATCGCTTGTTTTTGATAAATAGTAAAATTGTCACGTGATGGTCATCTTGCGTGATTTATAGTTTTTTTAGTTTTTTGTTTAATAAAAATTTAATTTTTTCGTAGATATTTATTTGTTTAATGTTTTTTTCCAGTTCACATCCCCAATGAGCCCATGGGTATTCTTACGTAATTTACTGGCAGTTTCGTTGTGAATGGAATCATTAGAAGCATTTTATATTTGATCTTTTACAGGTTACATGATTGGAAAACTCCAATTCCCCAATTCCCGATTTCCAGTAATCAAAACGAAATTTGCTGTATTTCAAATACGGTAAGAGTGGCTGGTATAGGGTTTGAAGCAGGATGAGGCAGCCCGAGCAGGAACATGTTTGAGCCATCCTGCTTTTATTGTGTTGCTATGTGTGACGTCACCAATCACACTTAAACTTGCTGTATCTTAAAAACAGCAAGTGTTGCTGGGATGAAATTTAGAGCAGGATACAACAGGGGTATAGCAGCGCAAGCAGGAACCAGGTTTGGCGATCCTGCTTCTCATGTGTTGCCAACTGGGAAGTTGGGTTGGGATTTGAAGCAGGATAAAGCAGGATTGTAGCAGCCCAAGCAGGATCGTGTTTTATAATTCCTGCTTTCAATGAGTTGCTACACGGAAAAAAAGCTAAACTGGCTTAAAGATTATTAATCTTGAACCAACGATATGCTAGTTTCCCCATTCCGCAAATCTAGTTATACTTCTTTTCAAGAAAACCTTATCCTTAGAAGCTAAGAAAATTTATCTTTTATTTAAGATTTACCTAGTATTGAAATTAAGATTATAACTACACTCCAGACAATTCGAGATAAAATCTTGTTTCGAGTACTACTTATACTTATTTGTAAATTAGCAAATTATTGCATTAAGTATAGAAATTCTTTGTGTACATGTAATAATTGCTTTATTCAAGTGTAATATCACCTACTATAAAATAAAGCCTCTTCTTACTTTTAGGTTAGTTACTAGAGGCGCCGACTAGGTAGTTTATAAAATTATAAAGTTTTTTTGTTACCGTTTGTGCTTGTGATATGTGAAAATGGAGGACCTTCTTCAGGCATGGGAGATGACGATTTGATCCCAAAATTTCAAGGCAAGTTTAGCAATAATCCTACATTATTTGATGACATTTGTTGGAGGTTAGTGGGACTCCATTTTAATATGCATTATTTCTTATACACTGGTGGTAAACTAGCTATGTACGCGTTTGGAATGATTCAATTATGTTTTAACAATTTTTATTACTGTCTCTCGTTTTCAATTAGCGATGCCGCTGTCCAATATCTACCTATATTCGGAAATTACAGAGTTTTATTGTATTTTCTTATTACGAAAAGCATATAATTTGGTAGGTGATGTTTGGCTAATCTAATTTAAAAAGTATTAACCATATTCGGGGTTATTCTGGTGATATTTCAAAATTCCATACCTATTGTAAATGGAAATTAAAAAAAGATTTTACCAAAACAAGAGTTTCTAACAAGATCGAACCCGAACCTCCGAAAGCATAGGGAAGACGTTACCAAATTTTGTGAGAACTATATAGTTTTTCGATCCCGGTTAATATTCGTCCTAAGAAAAACTAGTTTATCCTAAAATCGGGTTTGCCCGGTAACATACATGAATATAATAGAGTTGGGACATGCTAAAAATTTTAATTTCCATTTCCATTAGGTATGGAATATTGAAATATCACCAGAATAACCCCCGAATATGGTTAATACTTTTAAATTAGATAAGCCAAACATCACCTACCAAATTATATGCTTTTCGTAATAAGAAAATACAATAAAACTGTGTAATTTCCCAATATAGGTAGATATTGAACAGGCATCGCTAATTGAAAACGAAACGATAAAATTGTTAAAACATAATTGAATCATTCCAAACGCGTACATACCTAGTTTACCACCAATGTATAAAAAATAATGCACATTAAAATGGAGTCCCCCTAACCTCAAACCAATGTCATCAAATAATGTAGGATTATTGCTAAAATTACCTTGAAATTTTGGGATCAAATCCGTCATCTCCCATACCTGAAGAAGGTCCTCCATTTTAACATATCACAAGCACAAACGATAACAAAAAAACTTTATATAAAGTACCCGGCGCGTCTCGTGTCGCAGAGGAGAAACAAAAACCAAATGAAGATAGGAATCAAGAATGGACTGTTGCGTTGTTGCTGTTGGGGATGGTCACTTAATATAAGAATAGTAACTCTTGGAAATGGGGCGTTGTTCTCGCGCCGAGAATAATATACTTATTTAAAGTCTTGATACACCGATTTCAAGTAAAAGTTTTAAAAAAGTTAAGAATACTACTTATTATATAAAAGCATTTATACTTCATTTAATAATAGTTTCTTCGTCGCTAAAGGATTTATTATAAGCTTTTCTTAAATATAAATCATTTTATTCTTCTTTTTTTTAGATTCAAAATTACTTAAAGTGACTATAACTATATTTAAAAAGCAAGTGTAAAAGTAAAATAGTTCCAAATATTTGTTGTACTCATGGAAAGAATACTATCCTTAAAGAAAGTGTAACATTTTAAGTGTATGATTGTTCTTGAATATAGAAATCATTTTTTTCCGTGTAACTTCCCCGATCTTAAACATATGACAATATTCTCAAAAAAAATTAATATTATGATTGATGTCAACTAGAAACATAATAAATATAATTGGTTAGTTTAGTGTAATTTAGAAATGCACGAAAACGGTAATAAATATAAAGTAATGTGCTTACCAATATCCTTTTTACATCTTCCTCTGAGGGATGTTCGTACTCATTTTGGAAGTACACTAGTCGATGGATGAGTTCCTCTTGCTCGGGTGAGATTGGTTTGACTCCGTTTGACTTTTCTCCATCAGACAACTATAAAGAAAAATATTTATGAAAATTAGAGATATGTTACAGTATGCTATATTATGCTGTACATGTGGACAATTTATAAAATTTTTCTAAATTGAAATATATTGTCACTGATTTGGATTGTTTGTTGACGCCAGTAGTATATAAATACTCTGACTGGCTACATAAACAGAGAAGCTCCAGCAATAGTAAAAATATTTAATGGATCTCAAGGAATTCCCTAGAAACAATAGAGTTTCCCAATACCTCCGAAGCCACTCACAGTAAGTTTAAAGAACCTTACTTGAAAAATTAAAGATAGTTGTCAAACACGTGAATCATTTGAATCAGTAAGACTTAAATACAAGTGAAATTTCGAGCAATTTGATATACAAATCTCGTACTCAGTAGTCAGTAAGTCTAAGTATTTCTCGAAATTAACTGCAGATTCAAATTCAATTGCAGAAGTAATTTTCTTGTATTTCATATACCGGGGGCTGCATCGTCGGACGGGACATAGGAAATCCCATGTAAATTTTAATGTGGTCAATTATCGCCTTCCGTAATTAGTTTAGAGAATAATTATATTTAGGTTTATTGAAGAGCACTAAAACCCACATTCAAAAGAATAACTTTAGATATTTTTGATAAGCTCATTTACGAGTTATCGCCGATTTCTTTTTAAATATTTCTCCTTTTTTTATGGCCCTGTATTTACTTATGAGCACCAGTCAAGGTAAAAGATAACTGTCAAATGAAGTTGTCATTTTAGAGAAATTTACCTATTTAGTGCTTTATTATTATTGAAAACTCATTCCTACATCGGAAATCGTAAAGATGTATTTATAAATAGAAATTAATATGAATTAAAGTAAAATAAAGTAATCAATTACAAGGTTAATTATGGTATTATTGCAATATTCAATAACTTATTAATTTAGGTACTATTAAATTGTTAGAACTTTAGGATTTAAGAAGATGTTCAAATATTCCTGCATCGACTGCTAGACAATAACCCAGGCGATCATAAAATTCTCTTCTTACATTCGCTAGTTAGTAAACTGAAATTCTATTGCATTCGGCAAAAATAGCATTTTTTAACTCGTCTAGATTTGGGTATTTTTTTAGTAATAAATAAAATAGCCCCAGAGAAAGAAATCATTTGGCGAAATATCAGGAGACATTGCTGGCCAATTTACTGTATGATTTAGGCCAATAACTTTTCCGTTAAAACTATTGTCTAAATATTCCCGAATAAACCAAACTTCCTGATTTTCCCTAGCGGCATCATGTAAAGCAGGTAAAATATGATTTTCGAGTAGTTCCAAATAATATTCTGCATTTAAATTTCGCGTAAGAAATAATGGCCCGATAATATTGTGTCCGAATATCCCTGCCCAAACATTTACTTTCTGTGGATATTGCGTCCTTGTTTCGACAAACCTGTGTTGGTTTTCTTTGTTCCAATATCGATAATTTTGAACATTGGGTTCATTATTTAAAGTAAACGTGCATTCGTCAGTGAAACATATGTTTTTTAAAAATTCCCTATCCGTGTTTGCTCTTTCCATCATATCAAAACAAAACGCCTGCCACCGTATTTCGTCCCCATCTCGTAGCCCTTGGTGCTTTTCATATTTGAAGGAATAGTATTTATGTCGTTTCAAAATTCGAAACGCTGTAGTGTGATCTATTCCTGTTTCATCCTCAAGTTTCCTTGTGCTGATCTTTCCATCGTTCTCTTCCACGCACAATACTTCTCACGTCGGTATCATTTCTTGCATCTTCACTTTGTTCCTGTCTTGCTTCACATCTGCAGTTATTTATTAGAGTACCTTTGGTCTCAAATCTCTGGATATTCCTTGCGATTGTAGATTTTCCAGGTATCGGTCTATTCGGATACAGAGCAGCAAACATGTCCGATACCTTTTGATAATTATTTCCTTGATAATACCATTTAATTATCAATACTTTTTCTTCGGTAGTGTAATTCATGGCTAATATTTTCGATGTAGGTATGAGTTTTTAATAATAATAATAATAAAGCACTAAATAGATAAATTTCTGAAATTACAACTTCATTTGACAATTATCTTATACCTTGACTGGTGCTCATAAGTAAATACAGGGCCATAAGAAAGGATAAATATTTAAAAAGAAATCGGCGATAACTCGTAAACGGGCTAATCCAAAATATTTAAGGTTATTCTATTGAATGTGGGTTTTAGTGCTCTTCAATAAACCTAAAGAGAATTATTCTCTAAAATAATTAGGGAAGCCAATAATTGACCCCATTAAAATTTACATGGGATTTCCTATGTCCCGCTCGACGATGCAACACCCGGTACCTAAACATTATTATAAAATCTTTGATAATACGCTATGATTTGTAGTATATTTTTAATTATTTACACAATTATTCATTTCGGTTAATTAAGCGTATCACTGGATGACGCTCTCATTCATAGGTTTCCAAAGACAATGCGGCGAAAGTTCTCTAATTATGTGTTAAGAAATAATACGAAAATAATATAGAAGGATACTAATACGATTTTAATGGTTGAAATACTACAATCTACGATATACTTTCACTACTTGAGAAAATTCAATGCGTGTATATACCGCTGTGTTCCTATTCAAAAATTATAATACTGTACAGGGTGGGTCACATTGGACGCTTTTAAAGGGAAACACCCTTTTCTATAGGACATAAACGAAAACTAATATCGGTGTCTGGAGCTATTTTTAACAAAAACATGATGGTGAAAACCGCATATCGATATCTGTTACCGTTTCGGAGTTACGAGGTGTTTTTCAAAAATGTGCATTTTTAATAAATCGCTGTAACTTTTTTGCTATGGAAAATTTTGTATTTTTATGGAAACATTTCCAAAGCACCTTTTTACGTAGAATTTAATGATTTTAGTATATTTTTTTTAAAATTAATAATTTAAGAATTATCAGCAAAAAAAAAGATTTTTTATATGGGACACTCTGTATATTTTTAGTTCATTGAATAGAATTTAAAATTATCTTTCCGAAAATATAGCATACTCGATATTTTGCTTGATTCCCCTTCGAGATATAGAGTTTTTAAAAATTCGCCCACTTTGAATAAGTAGGCTTTGAACTGCGCCGGCGCCGGCTGTAATGCAAAAAAAAAATCTTCCTTGTAGTAGTAGTTAAAACAAAAATAATATTTACAATGAGAGATGCAAAATTTTATAACAATTTAAATTATATTTAACATCAACAAATTTAAACAATATCTAATAACAATAAAAATTATTAGCAAACCAAGACATGAGATTTTGCTACAGTTGTTCGACATGTCGACCGTCTTTTGTTATGGACAGACGGGACCGTTTTAGAACATTTCTCGCCGAATTCATTAAGTCAGTGGGATGAAAGTTACCCTCACATTAAAAATAAGTACTTCTAGTAATTCTTGTCTAGATTATACGGAAAATTTTAAAATAAAAACTTTTATTCTTCCGCAAAGGTAAAAATCTATAGGCACTAAGCTCGGCCGGCGGTCTCGATGGCCAACGGCTGGGATCTTGGTTAGCTATTCAATTATTGTCGAAATTAGTTACTAAGTTAACTTCGGTGTTCTAATGGGAACCGGTGTTTCGAGTTTCGACGTAGCGGGACCGTTGCCCTTGTGTAAACTATAGAAACCATAGTAATTTTAATTCGAGGTATATTTAATTTTATAAAAAAGAAGCTAAGATTTGCAATAATCGAGAGGTTCCGTTTAAATAATAAGCGAAAAATACCTTAATTGCAATCAAAATTCTACTTGACATTCTGTACAATAAATAAAGAAGTTATCGCTGAAGGTGTACACTGTAAGAAAGGAAGAGAGCCTATACAGTGAAGCAACAAAGTGCCTTTTTTATCGGGACCCTCAGAATTTATCTATTCTCCTACGTACGAGACAAAAAAGTATCCCTTGAGGGCATGGAATAATTAAAGTGAACGTCTCCTCTGAATGGACGCGTTTCTTTTTAATACTGAAGAAAGCCGAAGGAGCAAGACGACGAAAATTAACTGGGCGTGGTGGAGTGAAATAAATAGCGAAATGTTTTGTTTCGCTGTTGCATGGTCGTATTTTTCAGCTACGGCCTGGAGTGAAAGAGACGCCAACAGAGGCGTGCATACTATGGGTCAACAACTCTCTAAATAATCGTCCAAAACAGGCAAACAGGGTAACCTACCCAAGTAGTATACGAAGGAGAAAAAACCATTGACTACGGAAAATTAACCACTATTTGGTTGAATTTTACTTATATTTAACTTAATAAATTTCTTGTAGGGAATAAAGTGCGAGAAATCTAAAAATGAGGTCGTCAACTAGTTAATAATAACATAAAATTATGCCTTTGAAAAGTAGCAACGTTGGAGTTACCTGGCATTGTTAAAATCTAGTTACTGATAACCTATTGAGGGTATTAAGACTACAGGGACTTAAAGTAGGTCAAATGTTCTTATGTAATCTTAAACGTGTCCATTATGTGCAATAAAAACAAAAAGTCCTCTATAATAACACTCACAATCCCAAAACACAAAACTTTTACAAATAATAAGCAAAGAAAACTAATTTGGTTTTCTATAGTTAGTTAGTGGTCTAGTTTAGGCCAGTTCGGTAATTGCGTCGGCTAGCAAAAGGATCAAAATTTGACATGTCACGTGACTCTCAATAAATATTCTCATTTTAGATTACTGTGAAAAGTTAATCGGATTGCTCGAAGATGTAATCACCCAACTTAGCATAAAATATCATTGTCAACTGTCACTCAAAGAAAATAAAAGTTTTCTGTTTTACCGGCGATACTCCAAAAGTCAGGCCTTCGAGAAATGAGCTTCGACCTAATATAGCCCATTTTTTAACTTGCACCTCGAAGGAAAAATACCTTAAGCAAGAAATCTTAACCTTTGAGGTTATTAATTTAAAGAAATCTAACCCTCACAAAAAGAAAGCGGACTTTAAAGTTTTAAAATTATGAAAAACCTAACTTCAT